TGGCCAATCCATCTTGTTGGGGGTCTTCCTCTTTTTCTCTGACCCTCCACCTTACCAAACATGATATCCTTCACCAGTGACTGGTCCCTCCTGACAATATGTCCGAAGTGTGAGAGACGAAGTTTGGCCATCCTGGCCTCCAAGGAGCACTCTGGCTTCACTTCTTCCAAAGCAGATCTATTGGTTCTTTTGGCAGTCCATGGCACTTTCAATATTCTCCTCCAACACCAGAACTCAAAAGGATTGGCACTCCTAAAATACACTGGCCAGTTAATCCTATGGCTAGAGGCACTGAGCTAACATCGACAAGCTCCACATAAGCAATTCCTTTGGAATATCTTGAATTTTTATCAGAAATCATCTTCACATCTTAAACCTTTCATACTATGGGGAAAAACTCTTCCAATTCCTTTTACCGAATTCTTACTGTCAGCTTCATGCAGAAAACAGTCCTTACATCTCTTTCCTTAAGAGTGAAAATTACCAATAGGTTCCCTCACAGGACTTTTGTATTTTATGAATGGACTTTTGCTTTAGGAACGTTGTCTGCTTAAATTGATACTATGAGGCAACCCAATCTTTCCTCATTGGAAAGATTGTGGTTTGGAATAAGGACTTCTGTAGTGGCCTATTAATTGCAAATGTATTTTTCAACAACATAAGTGGCAACAAAGACATAAGTACATGTGGGTCTTGCTGGATAGGATACACAGGAATCAGGTAGACTACATCTGTGGATAGATACAGTAGAGAAGCTCAATATCATTAGTCAAAATACAGTCAGGTACCAACTATAGAATATATCATCAATTGCTTGTATGCACATTCAAGTTGAACCTGAAGAAAATTAAAGCAAGTCCACGAGAACCACAGTTTGATCTTGAGTAAATGCCTCCTGAATTTAAAGACCATCTCAAGAATAGATTGGTCATATTGAACAGTAATGGCTCAATATGAATTGTGGGATGACATCAAGGACATCATGCATGAAGAAAGCAGAACGTCATTACAAATCCAGTAAAGAAAGGAAATACCTAAATGAATGTTAGAAGAGACTGAAACTTGGTCTTGAACATACATGCTAAAGCAAATGAAGAAAAGGTAAAGAAAAAGATCTGGTTAGAAGACTTCAAAGGGCAGCACAAGAAGGCAAAGTTAAACATTATAATGCAGAAAAGTAAAATTATTTGGTGGTTCTTGATGTCTCTATGTCACTAACCATTTCTTAATATATATTTTTCTATTAGTCTTCTTACTGCTTTAATGGACAACATTCAGATGTCTTAATACAAGAAACCTTGAAAACATCAGATCATGTCATCTCTTCCTCAAAAAGTCATTAAGTTCATAACTTACATACAACATAGACTCCTGCATGATCTCTCCTCAAACTAGCTCCAAGATTCTTCTCTCCTTATATCTGCCCCTCCACCCACTTCATTCTACTCAGAGGTTCCAAACATATGAATACCTTTCCTTTCTGCCACACTGTCCTTCATTCTGCAATGACCCCTATTCCTATCAAACACATTTCTGTTCTTTAGATCAATGAAAAATATATCTCTTGATCTCTGGTCCAATAGCAGGATTAATTTGGCTTACTTGGAGTTAGTTTTGAAAAGACTAAAATGGATGCCAGGAGAGACTCTTAAACTTGCTTTTAATTTCAGAATGTTGTTGAGTGCCACTGAGTTAGTTCTAACTCATAGCAATCCCGTATAGAGTTTCCCAGAAGCAACTCTTAAGTTTGAACTGCTGACCTTGAGGTTAACAGTTCAGTGTTTATCCTATAATACTATGTGTAAGGAATAAATGATGAAGTAAAAAGCTGAACAGAATACTTCAAAAGGTGGCTTGAGAAGACAAAGTAAAGAAATACGGAGAAAATTATAAAGACTTGATATTAGAAAACCAAAAGGGAAGAACATGCTGGGATTTTCTCAAGTTGAAAGACAGAAAAAACAAACAAACAAAACACAACAAAACTCCAGCCTCAAGTTGTAATATTGAAGGGTTCTATGGGTTATTTTTACAAAACAACTGGTTTTCAGAAGTTATCATATGATGAAGAACCAGTAGTATTGGAAGAAGTCCAAGAGGCACTGAAAACAGTGAAATTCTGAAAAATGATGGAATACTAATTGAAATGTTTCAGCAAACATATGCAACCCTGGAATTGCTCACTCTTCGATGCCAAGAATTTGAAAGACAGCCTGACCAATAGACTGGAAGAGATACATATTTGTGTTCATTCCAATGAAAGGTGATGCAACAAATGGCAGAAATTATTAAACAATATCATTAATATTACATGCAAGTGCAATTTTGCTGAAGATAATTTAAAAATAATTGCAGCAGCCCATCTACAAAGAACTACCAGTAATCTAAGCCAGATACAGAGAAGACCAAGAGGCAAATATTTGAACAGAACAAGGGATGCTGCATGGTTTAAACTCAGGAAAGGTGTGAGGGTTTTATTCTTTCATCACATTTATTCAATCTGTATGAAAATAATCTTAGATACTGGACTATATGATAAAGAACACTGCATCAGTATTGGAGAAAAACTCATTAAAACTCTTTGATATGTAGATGACACAGTCTTGGTTGCTGAAAGCGAAGAGGACTTGAAGCACTTACTGATGAAGACGATAAACTATAAGCTTCAGTATGGATTACACAACACAAAGAAAGCATAATTCCTCATAATTGAAACAGTAAGAAACATCATGATAAACTGAGAAGAAGTTGTCAAAGCTTTCATTTTACATGGACCCACAATCAATGCCCGTAGAAGCCTCAGAAAGAAACAACTGCAAAAGATCTCCTTAAAGTGTTAAAAAGAAAAGATGTTACCTTGGAAACAAAGGTGTGCTTGCACTAAGTCATAGAATTTTCAACCAATTCATTTGTGTGAAAAAAACAGACAATAAATAAACAAGACCTATGAAAAACTGGTGCGCTTGAATTTTGGTGATGGTGAATACATATACCATGGACTGTCGGAAGAATGAATAGGTCTGTCTTGAAAGAAGTATAGCCACAATACTCCTTAGAAGCAAGGATGGTGAGACTTTGTCTCAGGTGCTTTGCATGAATTATCATCAGGAAGAAGCAGTCCTTGGAGAAAGATATCATTCCTGGTAAAGTAAAAGTCATCAGCAAAACAAGAGAAAGACTGTCAAGGAGACAGATTGACACAGCTGCTGCAAAAATGGGCTCCAGCATAATGCTTGTGAGGATGGTACAGGACTGGGGAGTGTTTCATTCTGTTATACATAGGGTTGCTGCACCTAACAACAACGATAGAGAAAGTCAAGGGAGACAGAGCAGATGGGGAAAGAGAAACTGGACACAAGGAGGAAGAAAAGACCACAGAGAGAGAAACAGAGCGAAGATTGCTGGGAAGGTCACTGGAAGGATATCATTGAGTACCTTCAATCATTTCTATAATAGTAAATTATGGATAATATTTGGAATAATATGTGAATTTTAGAAAACGTAATTGTGCTTGTGTAGAAAATGTACATAGACCAAGAGGCAGATATTTGAACAGAAAAAGGGGATGCTGAATGGTTGAAAATCAGGAAACGTGTGTGTTAGGGTTGTATTCTTTTACCACACTTATTCAATCTGTATGCAAATAATCTGAGAAGTTGGGCTGTATGAAAAAGAACATGGCATCAGTAATGGATAATGACATTGAAAATTCAAGTATAGTCTTCATTTCTCCAAAACTAAAACCTACAAAATTTTCCAGTCAGACCACAGGTTTAAGACTTATCCCTAACCCAGGCCTTCCTCCACAGTGCTAGATGCAATAGCAGAGATCAGGAGGATGTAGACAGAGCAGAGAGGGAAATTGGATGCCGTTAATTAACATGGTGGTGAGGGCGGGGAGATGGTAGAAGGGCAACACAGAGGAAAGCTAGAAGGGAAATGAGAGAGGCTGGGGGAGGCCTGTGGCTGAGGAGGTAGTGGAATTTTTCTGAAAATGCTGTGGGCAGAAGGAGAGGTTTGTCTTTGTGGCAAGGGAAGTCAGATGGGAGTGTGAGAGGGCAAGGAGAAGGAAGCTGATGTGTGAGTTTTGAGTGGATCCTGTCCTGTCTGCTATGTGTCCTTCACCTCACAGAGTGACAATGCTGCTCCTACTGCCTCTGATCTTTGATGGATTCTTCTGTCCTGGAGAGATCATAGTGGGTAAGAAGGGTTCAGGTGGAAAAATACCTTTTGTTGGGGCATAGGTGGGTAGAGAAGAAGCCCTGAGGAGACTATGATGGAAGAAAGGAGCAATATTCTATAGGATGGCCTTGGAATTGCATCCCAGGCTAGCTCCAGGCATGTTTCCTTGTCCAGTTCTCAGTTTCTCTGATTTTGGGAGAAGAAGCTGGTCTGGGGAAAGTGGGTATTAGAATATTTGCAACTAGCAAGCTCCATTTTTCCTTTCCTCTCCAGGTCCCATTTCTCCTGTCCTTTTACACTCTCTCTATTCTTTATTCCACTCTCAGATCCCCAGGACCCAGGACCCCCTCATTCACCAGCAGAAGAACCTCTTGACTTCCATCTGCTACAGATCTCTTCCTTTGTAAACCACAGCTGGGCAGACATCGAGGGCTCAGGCTGGCTAGGTGAGCTGCAGACACATGGCTGGGACAAGACCTTGAGCACCATTCGCTTTCTAAGGCCTTGGTCCCAGGGGAACTTCAGCAAGAAGGAGCTGAAGAACCTCCAGACATTTTTCCAGTTTTACTTTCATGGCTTCATCCGGGAAGTGCAAGTTTTTGCCAGCCAGTTTCAGTTTGAATGTGAGTTCATTTTTCCCAGTTAATTGTTCTGAGGGTTCCTACAGTCTTCCAGAGGGGAAAGCACTCTGACCATAACTCAGTCTTCTTGATCTTATACCCTGTCAGATGTGTCTCTCTTTGCAGTCTTTCTCTCTTCCATGTACATAGCAGGACCTTCATGCATATATCTCTGCCTTTCCTTGAACATACCCTCAAGGTTGACACCTCCAAAGAGCTGTCCCTAGCAGCAGACTCCCAAACAGTTATTGCGCTCCTTTCTCCCTTGCCCTTGTGGTCACATAATGGGCTGGTGTCAAACCATCATGAATGCGTTCTCTTTAAGACTAATATCCTATCTTCCTAACAACTCTCCCAACTACCCTTTTCCCATAAATTATCTCAAAATATCTGTGTTATTTTCAAATTATTTTCCCACAAATTTCCTCCCCCTTTCCCCCCACAACTCTAGTATCCCATTGTGATTCCCCAGAAAAGTTTCCTTCCCTCGAATCTCTTTATTCTGGACATTGTTTACCCCTGTAATTATTTCCATATTGGTTTTCTCTTCCCTCTCCTCCATCCAGATCCCTTTGAACTTCAGATATTGTCAGGATGTAGAATTCGTGCTGGGGAGACCTCAGAAAGCTTCTTAAAAGGGGCATATAAAGGAACAGATTTCCTAAGTTTCCAAGGGAGTTCCTGGCAGCCATCTCCAGGAGCAGGGAGTCGGGCCCAGAATGTCTGTGGGGTGCTCAATAACTATAGAGATGTCAAAGAAATTGTGCAGAGCCTTCTGAGTGTCACCTGCCCTCGATTCCTGGCAAGCATCCTTGAAGCAGGGAAGATAGAACTAGAGCGGCAAGGTGAGGTCAAGTTTCTCTTTCCTTCTATTCCTAATGCTTTTCCTTCTATTCCTAAAACTCTTCTATTTGAGTTTCCCAGTCCTCATCATCTCATTAAGAATCTATAAGGTGGGAAGTGTATATTTAGATTGGTATAGACAAAGGCAAGAAGCGATTTTCCAAACTGCTAAATTACTCTGAGTTCCTGAACTCTGTCCTGGGGCTCCTGTATGAGTTCCATTTCTCTCCATCTTTCTCCAGTGAAGCCAGAAGTATGGGTGTCCAAAGGTCCTTCTCCTGGTCCTGGCCGTCTGATGCTGGTGTGCCATGTCTCTGGTTTCCATCCAAAGCCTGTGTCAGTAATGTGGATGCGGGGGGATCAGGAGCAACCTGGAACTTGGCAAAGTGGTATCCTGCCCAATGCTGATGAGACCTGGTATCTTCGTGTAACTTTGGATGTGGCAATTGGGGAAGCTACTGGCTTGTATTGCCGTGTGAAGCACAGCAGTCTAGGAGGACATGATATAATCATCCACTGGGGTAAGAAAGAACCCCTGAGGAAAGGTTGGAATATAGAACTAAGGCTTTGAGTCAGCAGTTAAGGAAATGGGTCGGATAATTAGTCACAAGAAAAACAAGAGTGGAGAATACAGATAATAAAAGATGGAGAATAACAGCGCCTCTTGTTATTGAAAATGAAAGTAGAAGACCAAGTGTTAAAGTGAGAAGCTAGAAGGGCCTAGCGATTTGGTAGAGAGCGATCAGTGATAAAGACTCAGGAGGAATTGAAATGTAGGTTCCAAAAACTACAGATTAAAAATATGATGGGTTCTACTCTGAAATGACAAGCATGAACAGCAGTAAAATAGAAAGTATTAAGGATTAATATTCATACTTTCCTCCAACCAGATGGTTACTATATGCTCCAGATGTTGAACTATTTGACTTTCGTAGTCATTTTGGGCTCACTGATTGTCCTTGTGTTTTGGTTTAAAGAGCGGAAGTAAGTCTTTTCTTTTTGTTAATTTCTTTAGCTTTTTCTTAACTTTTTCCTTCCTCTTCTTTTTTTTTCTTCCTTCTCCCATTATCTCTGATTTGCTTTCTTTTAGGTTCAGATCCTTTTCTCCTTTGTTCTCCCACAGCTCAAATGAGAACACCCTTACTTCCCATGTGTCCCATCTTGCCAAGGGAGCCAACACCCAGGGTCCGAGGAATTCAGGAAATCAGCTCTGCTCAGCTCAAGAATCATGGGGCAAGAACAGATTCTTGAAGAAATGGAAAGCAATCCTGAATCAACTCTACTGACATTGGTTTAATCTTCTATATAAAATCTTTGTCTAGTTTTGCTTAAACTCATAATCAAAGCATGAGTTTCATAAAGAAGCACAGAATTCTGATTCTTTGGAAGTCTGTTTTGTTTTTTTCAACCATTTATAGCAATATGTTTTCTACTTTGGCCATATGTTCATCATTAGCGATCCTTCAGTGATCCAAGCAGTGACCAGGCCATGAACAAAAAGATCAGTTCCTGTGTCTTTAACGTGAATTTGTAGGTAAATTGGAACAGCAGCATACGGTTCTAATTTAGCTTTGCTTAAGTGCATGAAAAATCTCAAATCTTTTTCAATTATTTAAAGATGTGTGTGCACCTCTTACAGTTGATTGTGATGAATAATTTGTTGCCAGTAGTGGTTGATTCAGTTGTTTCAAAGTGAAGGCAAATTAACTTAGCATTAAGGCATTAAGAGTTGTTGTCAGTATATCAGACATTCTGTTCTTAACCTTAGGATTGATTATCTGTATCTCTTTCTAATTCAGATGCTGCTTTCATAGGAAATGTCCCTAAATCACAAAATTGAAAGTTCTTCTCTATTCCCACAATGTAACTGATCTTGCTTAATGTGCTCACCTTCCTACTCTGAACAGTTGTTATTTGGACAGTAGTTCTCTGCTTTCTTCTCTGTTGTTTGAGAAAGGATTTAAGTGTTTGAATTCATTGCTGGGTTCATAGTCACCTCACTTGTGCAATAATACAGGTTCCCTTGATTAGAAGGATGTCCTATTTGGTTTAATGCTCTGTTGTGGCTGCTTTGAAAATTTTAATAATATCTAAACAAAGGACATTGCATTTTCATTTTTCACTGGTTCTATGGCTTATATAGCTGGTTCTGCCTAACATAATATTTTTCAACAAATTCGGGTGAAAATAAACTTGTCATAAGATTAACTGATGTTGCTTTAATTCATTCCCTGTTTACCTTTCTGTATCATTTGACTGTGCTCTTTTTATTATTTTTTTAAACTTTTGATTGTGAATTGAGTTAAAGTTTACAGATGACATCAATAGTTTTACATCCAACAAATCACACACTTTGTTTCATCTCAGTAATTGCAATCCCCTCCATGTAACAACAGTTATCCCACTTCCTCCCTGTGCTTCCTATTTCCATTCCACCCACCTTCCCATGCCTTCTGAACTGTGTCCTTAGGTAAACATTATTCTTTTGATTTTGAGTTTTTGACCATTCCACGGTGAACACACACCTTACTAGTGTTGTTGTCCCCACTATACACCTAAATACTACCTGGCTGCAAATTGGGCCACGAGGGTGAGTTCCTAACCAGACTTGAAGGGTAGTCAGTGGTCATACTCTCAGCTTCCTTTAGTCTCTTTGTAACCAGTAAATATATATAAATATATATCAGGCCTACTGGGTAGCGTAGTGGTTACGAATCGGGCTGCGAACCTTAAGGTCAGCAGTTCGAAACTACCAGCCGCTCCGCGGGAGAAAGATGAGGCTTTCTACTCCTGTAAGGATTTACACCCTCGGAAACCCTGTACAGGGTCGCTCTGGGTCGGACCCGACTCGACGGCACTTAACAACAACAACAACAACATAATATATGAAATTATATATATATAATTTATATGTAGTATATATAAAAAATATATAATTATAAATAAACAAATGTATATATAGATAGTTATAATTTTTTGGATGTTATTTCATCTTTTCTCCCACTCTATCAGGGACCTTCTAATGTGATCCTTTTCAGAGCAGTTGGTAGTGGTAGCCAGGCACCATCTGGTTCTTCTGGTCTCAGAGTTGTGGAGACTGATGTTCACATGTTCCATTAATCTGTTGGACTAACTGATTCCAAGTATCTTCAGTTCTCATCACTCAGCTTTCTTCCTCACATAGAGAAACCACTTTAGGTGGCCACTCATGAACTTTTAAGATTCCAGATGCTACTTTCCAAAGCAGGATGTAGAACATTGTCTTGTAGACTATGCTAAGCCAATTGATCATAGTGTACCCTGAGATTATGGTCCTGAGCCCCCAGGCCCAGCAACTCATTTCCTTAAGATGTTTGATAATATATAAGAAGTTTCCATTATTTTGCCCATTGTATAATCCACCACATTCATAGTTGTGTTTCCACCAAAGGTAAATACCATATACAAATGTCCACTTTTAAACTTTTCATTATTTGTGAGTATATTCCCACTCTTCTTTCCCTTACCTGTTCAGCCTGTGTATCTGTACATGTATCTACTCTCAGAACACTGTTGTTCCAAGGTTGTGTATATAGCACAGTTTACATCTATATGTTACAATGTTGTGTATATAACACGATTTAAATCTTGCATACCTCCCTGTATCTTCATCTGTCTCCATCATTCTTTTATCAACCTCCCTCTTCTTGAATACTGCCCTTTCTCTTTTTGTATATTGCCTTCCTCATCACCCAGTTAGTATGTATTCTACCATCTAGTCAGTGAATTACTCTCCCTTACCTCCCACCCTTGGATAATCATCAAAGAATGTTTCTTTTAGTATGAAAACATTTTCTTGAACTTTTACAATAGTTGTCTCATACAATATTTGTCCTTTTGTGATTGACTAATTTCACTCATGGTAATGCCCTCCAGGTTCATCCATGGCATGAGGTGTTTCACAGATTCATAGTTATTCTTCAACATTGTATAGTGTTTCTTTGTGTGTATGTACCAAAGTTTGTTTATCCATTCTTCCATTGATGGGCATTTGGGCTGTCTCCATCTTTTGTTATTGTGAACAGTGCTGCAAGGAACATTGGTGTGCATAGATCTACACGTATCTTGGCTTTTCTTGCTTGTGTGTACAAACCAATAGAAGGAATGCTGGGTCGTATGGTATTTCTACTTCCAACGTTCTGAGGAAGTGACATATTTTTTCCACAGTAGATGATCCATTTTACAGTCCAGCAAACAATGTAAGAGGGTCCCAGTCTTTTCATACCCCACCAGCATTTGTTGTTTTCTGTTGTTGTTTTTAACTTTGCTATTAATGCTGGTGTGAGATGATTATCTCATTGTTGTTTTGATTTGTAGCTCTTTAATGGCAAAAGATTGTGAACATTTCTTCATCATGTTTGTTGGCTGCCTGAATATCTTCCTTGATGAAGTGTCTGTTCATGTCCTGTGCCCATTTTTAAATTGGGTTGTATGTATTTTTTCTTGTAGAGATGTTTTAGTTTTCTATAGACATTAAAGGTTAGATCCTTGACTGATATGTCATGACAAAAACTTTTTTCCAGTGCTTATCTTACAGTGCCACATGTAAACATTGTCTTAAAAGTGTGTAGACTTAGATGGGAAATATATTAAGAAATAAGAATATTTTGGTGGGTTTTTTTTTTTGGTATTTTTGTTTAATAAAGGTTTCTATGATTTTATAGCAATGCTTTTTGACTTATCCTCGTATTCTTTGAATTCTTGCAGAGCTAAATATAAATTAATTTTTTCATTTATCTATATTTGGTTATGAATTGGGCGGTCAGCAGTTCAAAACTACCAGCTGTTCTTCAGGAGAAAGATGAGGCGTTCTGCTCCTGTAAAGATTTACAGCTTCAGAAACCCTGTACAGGGTCGCTATGAGTCAGAACCGACTCCATGGCACATAACAACAACATATTCAGAATAATGATAATATGTTTGAATAAAGAATTCCAGGGTCACTTCCTTTCCTCAAATTCTGAAAGGTTTTACTACTGCTTTGTCCATGAGGCATCTGTACAACTTTGTAAGTGACTGGTATTTTCTATCTGAAACTTAAAAAAAAAATCATTCTTTATTCTTAGAAATCCAGGATGAATCTGAGAGTAGACATTTAAAAATAATTCTTACCCCTATTATATGAGCCTTCTTAGAAAGTAGAGGCTCATTTTGGGTTTTGTTTCATTTTTTTTTATCTCTAAAATGTTAGTGTCTAGAACATTTATTGATTCTAGATGGTTCTTAGTTACTACTAGTTGAATGAATATATGAAAACATAACAGAGGAGTGGCAGTTCAACTCTCTTCAGACAGCATTGAGAAACATAAATGAAAGGAACACAATTAAGACCCAACACCACAGTAAATAAATCTCCCGTTAACATTCCAGTCCCTTAGAGTCACTTCACTGCTTTTAACAAAGGTGCTCTCTATCCAGATAACACTGAGAGCTCCCAGGTCACTTCTCCTCACCACTAGGGTGAAGTTTGCCCACAGACACATGCAGTGCAGTGAGTTAATTCGTGTTTTCTTTCTAGCCTTTGTAACTCCCACAAAGTGATGGACTAGGGAGAACTATGCAATGAGGTCTTTGTGGCCCCTCAATGACATTACATAACTTGCTAGTAATGTAAATAAAGTGTATGGCATTCTGGTGGGGGTGAAACCATGCAGATAATGTGTATGGGACTCTAACGAGGGGATTGGTTAGTTTTACCATCTCACTGGACTTAAACTACCTCAGAGGCAGAAAGGAGGACTTCAAGACAATGAAGAATGAAGAGCCAGAGGTGGAGCATATCCTTTGGATGCTGGAGCCCTGCTTTATAAACCAACTAGACTGAGGAGATAGAAAGACCTGTAACACTATCAGACAGTGAGAAGCAGTACCAGAGAAATGGTAGCAGCAGACGTAGCAGAACCAAGAGGGGGCAGGCTATGGCCCAATGGGCTTTATGGCCCACGGATATAGAAACCCGTGCACTTTTGGACAAGCAGATTATTGACAGACTGGGATGTCACTGGGCACTTATTGATGGAGATATAGAGCTTTGTAACATTTGCCCAATCTCGATAGGGGCTGAGGGCCTGTTGGTCCCAGAGACTGAGGGCCAGAGAGAGGCATGCTTGCTGGCAAAGCTGAAAAGAAACTGTGCCAACCAAAGAACCATATCCTGAGTCATGTCTGATCCTGAATTGTAATCTGTCACTTCTCTAATAAACTCCATAATCATGAATATTGTCTGTGTGTTCTGTGTGGCCTTTGA